TTTATTTTTAAATAAACATTTTCTGTGTCATTAGTGTCAATTTGTAATGGCCATCACCGAAATGTGTACACTGAAAGCATAGCATATACACTATATAACAACATTGTACATTAAATCACTTGCAAGTGGAAAAAGATGGCTGCAGGGTTGCATCATGGTCTACAGAGGATGCCATATATTGAAATTCATTTGTTTTCAAGTGAACCTCAGGGATCATGGTACAAGATGACAACTTTTGGGGGCCTGGGTGAAATGTCAAATACAAACTGTACATTGCCATCTTAATTGAGGAGCTAAGCCACGTAATGATGGTGTGATGATTTTATGTGGTATTTGCATAATAGCGTGTGTCATGAATCACAATCTTCAGTGCCCATCACATGAACAAAATTGCTACTACTCAATCTTTAGTTTTCACATCTTATTTCATGTGAATTTTGGGTCACTTTGCCCATGCAATTGTGTCTAAAACAATATTTCCGTAAGTTTTGTAATTTTTATGTGGTTATATTGAAACAAAAAATAACAGCTATTGTTGCTTTCAGAATAATACTTACTTGAAAGTCCATAGAGCCAAAACATCAAAAATAACAGTAGTGCATTAGATTTTGGGAATATAAATAGCCATGATAATATTGTACAGATTATACAACAAGCAGTGAGCAACACAACATAGATAATGGAGTAGGAAAACCTGTGGACATTAACAAATAAAATGAAAAAAAATTATTCATATTATTCATATAGCAAGTTCAATTTAAAAACATAATTACTGTATGCAGTCCACACAAATTTTCTAAATGAATGATTGACGCAACATTTCAGATATTATTCAGATAATATTATTCATTTAAATATAATTCCTCTGTTAATTCTGGACAAAATTTAAATCATTTTCCATTGCATACAAATAATGATGAAAATGTGTGAAAATGTATGGACAAATTTATGACAAGATTTCAATTGGTTGAGTCTACCGTAAATTGTATTTGACAGTTAAAATTAAATCAGTCTAGTGCTTAAAGTTGCATTTTCGCTCTTTTACGGATAAAATAAACCTTATCACAGCTGAATGAAACAAAAAACATTTATTTTTTATTTGAGTAGAAAAATGTAAATGAAGATACACAATGGTCAAAATATCATCTCCAGTGTTTCAACAGAGCCTTGATTGTTTCCAGTTGTTTAATGCATAGAAGGAACTAATCCAATAGAAGTTCATCTAAGGTACACATATACTGTATCAAGTATCAAAGCAATTGGAGTAGCGGTTTTCAAGAAGAAGAAAATATTCACCAAAAATAAATAATTGAAGATATCATCACATGAACTGAACAATCTGAGAGAGGTCCACCCAAGATACCTACATCCCAACTATCAAAGCAATTGAGCAGGTAGTTTTCACGAAAATAGAATTGTTGACAGATGACGGACGATGACGGACAATAATCTACATGAACAGCTCTGCTCTGTCATCATCGATGACAACAGAGCTAAAAATCGAGACAATGAAATTTCTAAAAAAGAATCACAGCTTACCGGCTGTTTTTGTTTCTAATAAAAGATGCTTTTTAATAAAATGAATAACTCCTTTTAATATTTTGACAAGTAAATTGTACACTTTCTTTATCGTTGATCAAAATTTACTGTGTGTGATGATGCATGATGCAAATGTTTATGAACCCTATGTAATCATGTCCTCTGTACATTTACATTACAAGTTGAGTGATGGACAGAAAACAATGGATTAAATTTTGATACTGATTTGTTGACCATCGAGGTCTTTTATATTCTGTTGTTTTCATAGTTGTATTTGTGCACAGCTTCTTAACTATATAGACCATGAGTTAATTAGGGAACACTAAATATGGGTTAAATCTGATTCATCTTTAAGACCAGATCCCTAGCACTGGCTAAGACATATTTATATTTCATTTTTAAATAGAGTTATAAATTCATAAATAGGTAAGTATGCAGTCATTACCAAAATGCAAGGCTGTTCAGTCCCATCATCTTCATGGTTTCCTTGATCTTCTTTTCTTTCTCATAGACCAAGGAGGAAATAAGAATACCAAGAAACGGAGAAAATGCCATCACCAAATAGAGTGAATTCATAATCTGCAGCTGAGTTATATCAGTGGTATACTCTGGCTTTGGAAGTAACTGCATTTGAATCTGCGGCAATGTAGTATTTGGAACTGAAAACTGGTAACATTAAGATGGGTCTTGTAAATTAATATTGACTTGACATAGCAATAATAGATTATTATTATTATTATTATTATTATTATTATT